CTGGATTGCACAGGGTTATTAGAAACAATGCGAAATGTACACGGTACACTGCGTGACACACAGGCAGCCTTCCTCAGAGCTTTTTACTGTTCTCTTCCTTTCATAATTCAGTTATCCAGTAAGTAAGTGCATAGTACTGACAGAATTTGGCATTCGCCAGACCATTATTATCCAGCGTATCCCAGTGTGCACGGAAAGAAAACAGCTTGGCCAGAATGGCTGTCTTTGTAGGGAGAGTGTCGGTGTGTGTGCAGGGCTGGATCTCCGCCTGGGCTGTGGGGGTCATTGGGGGTGCCGCCAGCCGTCTGCAGCCTTAGCCAGGGAAATCGACTCACAGCCCTCCTGGCACCTACTGCTGGACTTGGGTAAACAGAATTACAGCCTTTAAAAAGAACTGAGGGAAAGCGACCAAGATCCCCACTCACCATGTAAACAGGATGGCCACTGAAGGGCAGCCGTGGAGATGTTTATGTTCTGTTCAAGGGACAATTGACAAAAGGCCCCTGGGAAGCTTTATTGTAGCCTGGGGCAATGCTCTGCCAGCCGGGTGGCTGGGTTCTTCCCGGCTCTGTCTGTATCTCATGTGCTGAGCTTTAACCTAGAGCTCTAGGGCCATGCTGTCTGGACTCAGGATGCAGTGTTTAGAGATGCTGGGTCTGGTTATCGGTGCAAGGCCCTTTAGGCACATATCAGGGCATTCTGGTGTCCAGGCTTCAGTTCCCAGTGTTCCTGCTGTGACCTGGAGGCTGGCTGCTTAGGGCCTCCACCTGAGAATTATCTTTTTTTTTTTTTTAATTTTTTTTATTTTAAAGATTTTATTTATTTATTTGACAGACAGGGATCACAAGTAGACAGAGAGGCAGGCAGAGACAGAGAGAGGGGGAAGCAGGCTCCCCGCTGAACAGAGAGCCTGATGCGAGGCTTGATCCCAGGACTCTGGGATCATGACCTGAGCCGAAGGCAGAGGCTTCAACCCTCTGAGCCACCCAGGTGCCCCTCCACCTGAGAATTATCTTAATGATAACTACCATTGACTTGGAGCAAGGCAGCTAGCTGGCTAGATACATGAGAATCCACGTGGATTCTCTCATTTAACCCTCACAATAACCCTGTGTGATGGGGTTCCGCAAAGAGGCTCCGCAAAGATAATCACTGAGAAGTCAGATCATTTAGATTCTCAAACCTGTGCTTAAATAGTAAAGTAGGCAAGGGCGGGGGTGTCGGTCAAGTTCAGCACTACCTCTATGGCCCAGCATTGTCTGAGAAAAACTTGTTGAATGAATGATTAGAAAAAATTCTTCCCAAATGTTCTGCACTGATTTTCTGGGGAGCTCGTCTTTCCCCGACAGTGAGAGCATGTTGCATGGTTTATTTCACATGGTCCTATTCTGCCCCAGGGACCCAGGACACTCATTGGTCAATGCTGATTACAGCTGGGTCTTGGGTATGGGCTGAGGCACCAGGGCGATGAACGATTGGCTAAATGTCTACCCAAAAAGCCAAGTCCTGCTTTAGTCTGGTCTGGTCTGGCATTCTAGGCAAAGAAAGCATCTCCTGAGATGTCCAATCCAGCGTGTTCCCGAGACAGTAGGAGCAGTGAAAGCAGATGCTTGTCTCAGCTGGTGTACAATCTCTGGAGAGCGGTTTTGCCGTCCCTCTTCCAGAACACGGGTCGGATGGAATGGAATTGTGAAGGTAGGCTTTGCAGATTTCACAGGAATGCCAGGACATGGTCCCTGTACCTTTATAACCCCAAATGGAATTGGTTGAGACCCAAGAGCCCTTTGGTCTTTGAATTCCTTTTTTTCTTATGAAATTATTTATAATAATAATTATTATTACTATTGAAGTGTAATGAACAGTGTTGTATTAGTTTCAGGTGTACAGTATAATGATTCAATACTTTTATACATTGCTCGGTGCTCATCATAAGTGTACTCCTTTTTTTTTAAAAATATTTTATTTATTTATTTGACAGAGATCACAAGTAGGCAGAGAGGCAGGCAGAGAGAGGGAGAAGTAGGCTTCCCGCCAAGCAGAGAACCTAACGTGGGGCTCGATCCCAGGACCCTGAGATCATGACCTGAGCTGAAGGCAGAGGCTTAACCCACTGAGCCACCCAGGCGCCCCATAAGTGTGCTCTTAATTCCCTTGATTTCACCCGTCTCCCCTCTCTCCTCCCCTCTGGCAACCACCAGTTTGTTCTCTGTATTTAAGAGTCTGTTTTTTGTTTTGTTTTGTTTGCTTGTCTCTTTTTTTCTTTGTTTTGTTTCTTAAATTCCACATATGAATGAAATCATAAGGTATTGGTCTTTCTCTGAGTTATTTCTCTGACTTATTTCACTTAGCATCTGACCCTCTAGGCCCATCTAATTCTTGAATAGAAGAGAAAAAAGACATGCTTGTTCTCTAGGATGGATTAGGATGTCGAAATTCTCTATTCCAGAAGAGAGTGTGGACTTTATTGTAAATATGAACTCTTAAGTTAGAGGGAGATGTAACATTCTTCCTTTCTATTCAGGTCTCTTTTTGGGGGAGGCACACAGGTGGTATGGGTGACCCTCCCAGACACTGATCATTTCCCTTCCTGGAGCTGAGGCCAGGATTACCTCAGTATTGTTAGCAAGTTACAGTCAAGTGCAGATAGTTTCCTTAAAATGGCCTAAATTGTTGGGAAGTCTCTGGAAAAGACAAGCATGTCAAAGATTGCCCAAACTGGTGTCATTTGGGAGATGGTAAAATGCTGGAAATAATAAGGCCTCGTACTCTCTGTGTGTATTCATTGTTGGTGGTAGATTTTTGTTGTTGTTGTTGTTTTTGACATTTTAGCCATCGTGCTTTGATTTATGGAAACCTGTGTCCCAGATACCATACACATCCGGGATCTGTCCGTCAGGATACACCAGACCTACAGACAGGCCTGGGATTTCTGGGAGCAGTTTGCGATCACAGCTATCATTCAGTGTCCTTCTCATTGGTTGTTTTTCCTTGTGCTCATTCCTTTCTGCACACAGCTGGCCTTCCACTGTCCTGGAAGTCTTCCAGACAGCCCCCAGCCAGTCCAGTCTTCCAGTTCTAGGAGCTTCTCACACAGGTGGAGCACAGTGAAGCAGGGCCTTCTGTCCATCTCCCCTGGCCTGCCAGGGTCAGATGCTTTCTTTATCTTATTTCATGAAGAGAGATCCTATACTTGTTCCTATCACTAAATTTGGAATAGGCTGGATGGAAATATTCTGGACCTCTAACTACTTCTGCCCACTTCTGATACAAACTGGATTGGCTTTTCTACTTCCCATCTCCTTGAGTCAGTGGCAAACTTTGAGCTTTATGCTCTGCATATGTGGTCCCTGTCCCTGTCTCATGCCTGGTTCTACAATGCACACACACAGACACACACACACATACACACACACGCAAGCACACAGAGAGCTCCTACCCTCCCTATGCTTAAAGAATTCCCCATTTGTGGATATAACAAGTATCCAGGGAAAGCGATGGGTTATTTTCTCTGGCTCAGTTCTTGTTAGTTTCATAACAATATCTAAGGGACATGAAGATAATGGTCCCTGTTTGGAGAACTCCTCTTTCTTACTCTCAACATTTCCCCCATTAATTGCTATTGGAAACAAATATTCCATCACATTTCAGAGCTGGTTCCAACCGTCCAGGTATGGGTTTAACTGAGTTCTGCTGAATGTCACAAGGGTCAGGCAGTAGGAATCATGGAAGTCCCGCTTGAATTGGTAGGATTTAAGTAACAGGCTTGGAATTAAAGATGTGGAAAACATCGGTACTTATCTTTAGTGCACATGGCCTTCCTGATCTGGAATAAATTCTATTAGAAACAAAGTAATTTAGAATAATTTTCCATCAAGTAAGTATTTTTTTGCACAGGCCACGACAGCCACTGTCCCAGGTGGAACCCAACCTGCCACTGATGTTCATTATTGCGACTAGGAATTGTGAATCCACCCACCACACCAGCCTGCTTTCCCCTGCATCTTGGACAATAGCAACCTACCCATGTTGTGCCAGGAAAGGCTATGCTCCTTCCCCCTAGTTTCCCTCTCTCCCACAGTCTCCACATGGCTAATGCTGTTACTGCTTCCGTCAGCTGTGCTCCACCTCTAATCCCCTTCTCTGTTCTGTGGCTGCTGCTTCCACAGGGTTCCTGTTGTGCAGGGTGATTCCAGAAATGACCATGCTCTTCCCACCACGCTTAGCCAAGAGTGAGAGAGCTTGCCAAAAGAAAATGGAAGTCAATTTGTCTCCCAAAGTGACAGGTCTTTCAACCAAACTTAGAGCTGAAGTATCACCTTGATAATTCAGTTTTATAACTGGCTTTCTAGAGACCTAGAGGAAGAACTGGCAATACAGAATAAATTCAGGTTCAGTAAGTGGGCAGCATTGTTCAAGTGTCTTTTCCTTAGCTCTTTGGGAGCTGGGGGTCCTTGTACAGTAGGAACTTTCCTTGGTGGCTTTCCTGGCCACTCCACGTGCCCACACATGTATATGAAACTCCCGTCAGCAGTATTTTCAATCAAATGGAAACTGGTTGGGGCCCATGCAGATTTTTCTAGGCTGGACTCCGAATTATTACATTCTGTGAAAAATAAAGATATTAGCCCTAGTTACATTTGAGAGGCAGACATTGTGGTTTTTAAAAAATGTTTTTCTGTGTTTTCTACACTTAAAAACCAAGGACAAAGGAAGATTCCAGGAAACCTGCAGATGTTTACTGTTGAACCTGAAAACATTTCTCAATCCCACTTACTGTCACTTTTCTCATGTAAGAATCTGCATAGTGAGAGTCATGTTTTCCAAGGCCCTAACCTGTCTTACAATTTTCCCTTTTGGCTATTGCTTTAATAAACACCCAGATGTGCTATTTTACAGATCATAAGGCCTATCAAATATGCTCCTCTTATGCTCTGTATCCCACATGTTGCCTTGGACCCTGGCTTTCGGAGCTGAGCTCAAGATCTTTGTCAAGCTGGGCTATGGCAGACATAGCTCCCCCAGTCTCTCAGCTGGAAGGAGTAGGGGAGAGTTGTGGCTCACCCTCAACCTCCAGGAGACTTTGCTGGCACAGCTGGACTCTTCTGGGCCTGCTGTGGAACCGGGTAGGAGGGAAAGTAGCTACAAAGACAGATCAACTATCAAAGCATTTGAAAAAATGTAACTCAAGAGAGAGGCCAAAACCTGACTTCTTTATTCAGGATATTAACGCAGGCTTAAAAGATGAAACAGAAATACCTGAACAATTAGTTCCAATTTCTTCTCTTTCCGAAGAGCATTTGGAAAACTTAATTAAGAAATTGCAGAAAGCAAGTGAAGGTTTGAACTCTACACTTAAAGATCAAATTATGTCCCATCCAGCATTGCATGATGCCCTTAATGACCCTAAAAATGGTGATTCTGCAACCAAACACCTGAAACAGCAGGCTTCTATTTTAGGTAACATTGAAAAATTAAAGTTACTTGGTCCAAGAAGATGCTTTGTTGAGTTTGGAGCAGGAAAGGGAAAATTATCTCATTGGGTTGATATTGCCTTAAAAGATGCTGAAAAAGTTCACTTCATCCTGGTAGAAAAGGTGACCACGAGATTCAAGGTAGATGGCAAACACAGAAAGAAAAATTCAGTATTTGAGAGACTTCAGATTGATATTCAACACTTGTGTTTGAATAAGATTCCTTTGCTAAGCAAAGAAAAACTACCTGTGGTAGGAATTGGAAAGCATCTATGTGGTGTAGCAACAGCCAGAAAGGAACATGTCAGTTCTATGCCTACAACTTTTACCTCAGATTGGTCATCTCTTCCATGCACACTGGAATATCTTGCAGTTTATTGTTGCTGAGAACAAGAGTACCCAGATTTTTCATATTGCTGATTGTTTCTGGCAAGCATGTTATTTCATTCCGTTGTAGCCATAATGTATGTAGACTCTGCATTCTAATTAAAAGAGGTTTCTGCGATTAATCATAAAAAAAAAAAGGATTGTGGGTTCTGCGGACCATCATTTGGCTCAGTCAACAGAAGAGCAAACATGATCATCAAATAGATGCTCTTGACTGATATGTAGTGATAAAAGGGCTAAAGATGTAGAAAGAGCTTGAAAACTGATTAAAATTTCATTAGTGTTGTTGATAGAGACTACTAATGAGTCCAAGTGTTTCTTTGATTTAGAGTCACGGGGCTCTTTTTTTAATTTTTAAATTTTTTTATTAACATATAATGTATTATTAGCCGCAGGGGTACAGGTCTGTGAATCGCCAGGTTTACACACTTCACAGCACTCACCATAGCACATACCCTCTCCAATGTCCATAACCCAACCACCCTCTCTCTATTCCCCTCCCCCAGCAACCCTCAGTTTGTTTTGTGAGATTAAGAGTCTCTTATGGTCTGTTTCCCTCCCAATCCCACTTTGTTTTATTTTTTCCTTCCCTACTCCCCAAACCCCCCATGTTGCTTCTCAAATTCATATCAGGGAGATCATATGATAATTGTCTTTCTCTGGCTGACTTATTTCGCTCAGCATAATACCCTCTAGTTCCATCCACGTCATCGCAAATGGCAAGATTTCATTTCTTTTGATGGCTGTGTAGTATTCCGTCATATATATATATATACCACATCTTCTTTATCCATTTACCTGTTGAGGGACATCTAGGTTCTTTCCATAGTTTCGCTATTGTGGACATTGCTGCTATAAACATTCAGGTGCATGTGCTCTTTCGGATCACTACATTTGTATCTTTAGGGTAAATACCCTGTAGTGCGATTCTGGGTTGTAGCGTAGCTCTATTTTCAACTTTTTGAGGAACCTCCATGCTGTTTTCCAGAGTGGTTGCACCAGCTTGCATTCCCACCAACAGTGTAGGAGGGTTCCCTTTCTCCACATCCTTGCCAGCATCTGTCATTTCCTGACTTGTTAATTTTAGCCATTCTGACTGGTGTGAGGTGGTATCTCATTGTGGTTTTGATTTATATTTCCCTGATGCCGAGTGATGTGGAGCACTTTTTCATGGGTCTGTTGGCCATCTGGATATCTTCTTTGCAGAAATGTCTGTTCATGTCCTCTGCCCATTTCTTGATTGAATTATTTGTTCTTTGGGTATTGAGCTTGATAAGTTCTTTATATATTTTGGACACTAGCCCTTTATCTGATATGTCACTTGCAAATATCATCTCCCATTCTGTCAGTTGTCTTTTGGTTTTGTTGACTGTTTTCTTTGCTGTGCAAAAGCTTTTGATCTTGATGAAGTCCTTGCTTCCTTTGCTTTTGGTGATGTTTCTAGGAAGAAGTTGCTGTGGCTGAGGTTGAAGAGGTTGCTGCCTGTGTTCTCCTCAAGGATTTTGATGGATTCCTTTCTCACACTGAGGTCCTTCATCCATTTGGAGTCTATTTTTGTGTGTAGTGTGAGGAAATGGTTCAGTTTCATTTTTCTGCATGTGGCTGTCCCATTCTCCCAACACCATTTGTTGAAGAGACTGTCTTTTTTTCCATTGGACATTCTTTCCTGCTTTTTCAAAGATTAGTTGACCATAGCATTGAGGGTCTATTTCTGGGCTCTCTATTCTGTTCCATTGATTGATGTGTCTGTTTTTGTGCCAGTACCATACTGTCTTGATGATGACAGCTTTATAATAGAGCTTGAAGTCTGGAATTGTGATGCCACCAACTTTGGCTTTCTTCTTCTTTTTTTTTTTTTAATTTTATTTTTTATAAACATATATTTTTTTTCCCCAGGGGTACAGGTCTGTGAATCGCCAGGTTTACACACTTCCCCGCACTCATCATAGCACATACCCCCCCCCAATGTCCATAATAACCCCATCCCCCCCAACCCCCCTCCCCCCAGCAACCCTCAGTTTGTTTTGTGAGATTAAGAGTCACTTATGGTTTATCTCCCTCCCAATCCCATCTTGCTTCATTTACTCTTCTCCTACCCCCTTAACCCCCCATGTTGCATCTCCTCTCCCTCATATCAGGGAGATCATATGATAGTTGTCTTTCTCTGATTGACTTATTTCGCTAAGCATGATACCCTCTAGTTCCATTCACGTCGTCGCAAATGGCAAGATTTCATTTCTTTTGATGGCTGCATAGTATTCCATTGTGTATATATACCACATCTTCTTTATCCATTCGTCTGTTGATGGACATCTAGGTTCTTCCCATAGTTTGGCTATTGTAGACATTGCTGCTATAAACATTCGGGTGCATGTGCCCCTTCGGATCACTACGTTTGTATCTTTGGGGTAAATACCCAGCAGTGCAATTGCTGGGTCATAGGGTAGTTCTATTTTCAACATTTTGAGGAACCTCCATGCTGTTTTCCAGAGTGGTTGCACCAGCTTGCATTCCCACCAACAGTGTAGGAGGGTTCCCCTTTCTCCGCATCCTCGCCAGCATCTGTCATTTCCTGACTTGTTAATTTTAGCCATTCTGACTGGTGTGAGGTGGTATCTCATTGTGGTTTTGATTTGTATTTCCCTGATGCCGAGTGATATGGAGCACTTTTTCATGTGTCTGTTGGCCATCTGGATGTCTTCTTTGCAGAAATGTCTGTTCATGTCTTCTGCCCATTTCTTGATTGGATTATTTGTTCTTTGGGTGTTGAGTTTGCTAAGTTCTTTATAGATTCTGGACACTAGCCCTTTATCTGATATGTCGTTTGCAAATATCTTCTCCCATTCTGTCAGTTGTCTTTTGGTTTTGTGAACTGTTTCCTTTGCTGTGCAAAAGCTTTTGATCTTGATAAAATCCCAATAGTTCATTTTTGCCCTTGCTTCCCTTGCCTTTGGCGATGTTCCTAGGAAGATGTTGCTGCGGCTGAGGTCAAAGAGGTTGCTGTCTGTGTTCTCCTCAAGGATTTTGATGGATTCCTTTCTCACATTGAGGTCCTTCATCCATTTTGAGTCTATTTTCATGTGTGGTGTAAGGAAATGATCCAATTTCATTTTTCTGCATGTGGCTGTCCAATTTTCCCAACACCATTTATTGAAGAGGCTGTCTTTTTTCCATTGGACATTCTTTCCTGCTTTGTCGAAGATTAGTTGACCATAGAGTTGAGGGTCTATTTCTGGGCTCTCTATTCTGTTCCATTGATCTATGTGTCTGTTTTTGTGCCAGTACCATGCTGTCTTGATGATGAACTTTGGCTTTCTTTTTCAACATTCCTCTGGCTATTCAGGGTCTTTTCTGGTTCCATATAAATTTTGGGATTATTTGTTCCATTTCTTTGAAAAAAATGGATGGGATTTTGATAGGGATTGCATAATACGTGTAGATTGCTTTAGGTAGCATAGACATTTTCATGATATTTGTTCTTCCAATCCATGAGCATGGAACATTTTTCCATTTGTTTGTGTCTTCCTCAATTTCTTTCCTGAGTACTTTATAGTTTTCTGAGTACAGATTCTTTGCCTCTTTGGTTAGGTTTATTCCTAGGTATCTTCTGGTTTTGGTTGCAATTGTAAATGGGATTGACCCCTTAATTTCTCTTTCCTCTGTCTTGTTGTTGGTGTATAGAGATGCAACTGATTTCCATGCATTGATTTGCTCTCCTGACACTTTACTGAATTCCTGTTCTGAATTTACTGAATTCTAGCAGGTGTGGAGTCTTTTGGGTTTTCTACATAAAGTATCATATCATCTGCAAAGAGTGATAGTTTGACTTCTTCTTTGCCGATTTGGATACCTTTAATTTCTTTTTGTTGTCTGATTGTTCAGGCTAGGACTTCTAGTACTATGTTGAATAGCAGTGGTGATAATGGACATCCCTGCTGTGTTCCTGACCTTAGTGGAAAAGCTCTCAGTTTTTCTCCATTGAGAATATTTGCTGTGGGTTTCTCATAGATGGCTTTGATGATATTGAGGTATGTACCCTCTATCCCTACACTTTGAAGAGTTTTGATCAAGAAAAGATGCTGTACTTTGTCAAATGCTTTTTCAGCATCTATTGAGAGTATCATATGCTTCTTATTCTTTCTTTTATTAATGTATTGTATCACATTGATTGATTTGTGGATGTTGAACCAACCTTGCAGCCCAGGAATAAATCTCACTTGGTCATGGTAAATAATCCTTTTAATACACTGTTGTATCCTATTGGCTAGTATTTTGGTGAGAATTTTTGCATCTGTGTTCATCAAGAATATTGGTCTGTAATTCTCTTTTTTGATGGGGTCTTTGTATGGTTTTGGGATCAAGATAATGCTGGCCTCATAAAATGAGTTTGGAAGTTTTCCTTCCATTTCTATTTTTTGGAACAGTTTCAGGAGAATAGGTATGAATTCTTTAAATGTTTGGTAGAATTCCCCTGGGAAGCTGTCTGGTTTTGGGTTCTTGTTTTTTGGGAGATCTTTGATGACTGCTTCAATCTCCTTACTGGTTATGGATCGGTTCAGTTTTCTATTTCTTCCTGGTTCAGTTTTGGTAGTTTATATGTCTCTAGGAATGCATCCATTCCTTCCAGATTGTCAAACTTGCTGGCATATAGTTGCTCATATTATGTTCTTATAATTGTTTGTATTTCTTTGGTGTTGGTTGTGATTTCTCCTTTTTCATTCATGATTTTATTAATTTGGGTCCTTTTTCTTTTCTTTTTGATAAGTCTGGCCAGGGGTTTATCAATCTTATTAATTCTTTTAAAGAACCAGCTCCTAGTTTCATTGATTTG